GTTCTAGAGTTCTGTTTAAGTCTATGGGTTTTTGTTTATTGTTTATGTGGAGGATATGTCCTGTTCTGTCAGAGGGGTGTTGACAACCCCAGTTATTACTGTGTTGCTGTTTATCATTTTGTTCAGATGAACTTGGATTGGGTTTATGAATTTGGATGCACCCTTTTTAGGTGTGTAAGTATTTAGAATTGTTAAGACTTCTTGTTGAATTGCTCCATTACCATTATGTGATGCACCATTATATGATGCACATCTTTGTGTTTCATGACTTTTGTTAATTTGAAGACTATGTTATCTGATATGAGAACTGCTACACCAGCTTTCTTTTGGTTGCCATTTGCATGGAATATTGTTTTTCACCCCTTCAGTTTGAGTCTGAATGAGCCCTTATGGGTAGATGTGTTTCCTGAAGACAGGATATAATTAGGTTGTATTTCCTTATCTCTTCAGCCAGCCTATGTCTCTTGAGTCGGGAGTTCAAACCATTCACATTTATCAAAAGAATTTAGAAGTGGGGTGAATTTCTGTTCATCTTGTTAGGTAGAACTCTATTGCTTTGTTTTATCTCCTGAGCCATTATGGTATCTTGGCTTTGACCTTTACCTTTTGGGTGATTTTACACTGATGAGTGTCTATTCTGTTGAACTATATAGTGTTATACTAAATATTTCTTGCAGGCTGGTCTCCTGTTAGAAGGTCTTTATTTCTCCCTCCTGTAAGAAACTTTGTTTTGCAGGATACAAACCTACTCTGGCCATTATTCTGTTTGAGAAGACTGAGAATGGAGCCCCAATCCCTTCTGGCTTGTAAGGCCTCAGTTGAGAAGTCTGCAGTTAGTCTGATGGGTTTTCCTTCATAAGTTACCTGATGCTTTCATCTTGCAGCTCACAGGAATGCCCCTTTTGTGTTTATTTTGGCCAGTCTAATGACCATGTGTTGTGGTGTTTGGCCCTTTGCAATGAATCTCCCAGGAGTCCTTTGAGTTTCTTGTACCTAGATATCTCAATTTGTAGCAAGGCCAGGAAAACTTTTCTCATTATTTCCTCAAATAGGTTTTTCAACCGTTGTGTATTTTCTTCTTCCCCCTCAAGGATGCCTGATTTTTATATTACACCTCTTTACATAATCTCATATTTGTTGTAGGCTTTGCCCATTCCCCTTATTTCTCTGCTTTGCTTCTTCAACTGATGTATTTAATTCAAGTCGTTGTCTTCAAGCTCTGAAATTTTTTCTTTTGCCCATTCTATTCTATTTTTGAAGTTTCCACAGCATTTTATAATTACTTGAAATAATCTTTCATTTCTAGAAGTTCTGTTTGACTTTCCTTTAATAATTAAATTTCTCTAATGAATTTTTCATTCATTTTCTGCATTATTTTTGTGGTTTCTTTGTGTTGGGTTTCTACTTTCTCTTGTGTTTCATTGCACTTCCTTACAATTCATGTTGGTATGCTTCATCTGTCATTTCAATATTCTGCTTTTGGTTGTATGCATTGCTAGAGGACTGGTGTCTCCTTTTTGGAGTGTCCCTTTCACTCTGATTCTTCATATTTTCAGAGTTCTTTCACTGATTCTTTCTCATCTAGAGCAGCTGTTGCTTCTTACTTTTGCATTTTCTTCTGTTTATATAATGTCATGGCAGGTTAATCTCTGAGGCAGTAGGTGGTTCACCCACACCCTGTATCATTGAGTCAGTTAATGGTCTAAGAAGATTGCAAATTGGCCTTCCTGTCAGTAGGTGCCACTTGCCAGAACGAACAAGCTATAATGTTGTTTTGGGGTTCTGTGACTAGTTCTACTTCCTCAGCATATACACTTGAATACCCCAGGTGGTGATTGGGGCCTTGGACCTTCCAGGTGAGTCTTTTATTCTTCACCACAGCAGAGGTGGGTTGGGGAGTGAGGCTGGGAGGTGCTGGGTTGGTTGAGTCTACCCTGAATCTCCACAAATGCTGTTAGCAGAAGTCAAAGTTCTATTCTCCACCTCTGGGCAAAGCTGTCAAGAGCTGAGGGGCAAAGCTGTCAAGAGCTGAGGTGACCCCATACAACCAGAAAGTCTGCATGTGGAGGTAGACCTTTAATCCATCAGTCTGTAACAGGCCTTACTCCTTTTATCCCTCCCCTATTCTGTAGGTTTTCCTGAGCCTCTTCTGACAGGCAGTACCTCAGACAAGCTGAGCTCTCCTACAACTGTGATGCAGGCCAGGAGTTTCCCATCCCTGGATCCCTGCCTGAGCTGGATGTGCAGCCCTCTCATGAGAGGAGTGGTGCCCCACAAACACTCCACAGCTAGGACTCACATTGCATCCTCCTACCTGATCTGCCCTTCAGGCTTACACACCTACCAAAACTAATTCACAAATATGCCCTCCATGCTGCTGGGTAATACCATTGAGACCTGGGAATATGGGATCTGGTCTGTGGGCCCCAAAGATCAATATCTGACCATGCCAGAGAGATGCATTCTGCTCCTCAGTCACACACAGGGTACCCAAGATGGTTCAATGTCCCACTGCTTTTAGCCATGTTTTACTCAGATTGGGCCACCAGGCAAACAGTACAAGGGAGGGCCAGCAAGCAGGGAGCTCTCAGTCTAAGCACACTTCAGTTTGCTGCAAGACCCCAAAAGGAATGGTCTCAGCCCCACTGCCAGTGGAAGCCTCTGTGTGGTGGTTCAATTGTGTCTCTCAGCAGACTCCATTGCGGTAGAGGAAGTGGTGAGAAAGAATCTGACTGGAATAAAGTCTGCACTCTAGATGTGTCTGGCCCTTTCTCCTGGAGGCAGTACACCTAGAATAGCCAGGCCCTAGAGTCAAGCAGATCACTTGGAACACACTGGACCCCTGTGGCTCCTGCAGTCTGGGTCAGAGATGAGAAATGTCTAGGTGGAGATGAGCAAGACAAAACTTGGGGAGTGGAAGCCCCGTGGGGAGGACAAAGGCACATGGCAGGTCATGAAGTAATATGGAGCTTGCCATCCAGTGGGTGTGTGTGGTGGGAGGCCTTGTCTGTAAGACTCATAAGACTGAGAGCTTAGGGCTCTGTCTGTAAGAAGCTCCCCACTCACTGGCAGCAGCAGTCTCTGGGCTTGTGTGGGCAGACGGTCTCTCCAGCACCTTGGAAGCCCACCAACTGACTGAGATGTGAGGGAGGGAGAAACTATCTATGTTACCTATCCTTCTCACTGGTCTCCAAGCTTCTCAAGGGTTAATATCTGCCAATACCTTTCTCCTTCCAGTTTCTGCTCTGCAGCCTCTTCCTGCGGAACCTCTTATAGTTTCTTGCACCCTTCTTTCAGACTCTCATCTGATCTATGTTTGTCCATTTGTTTTTACTCTTTCATCTAAAATTTCCCCTTCTTACTGAGATGCCCTGGCTGCTGGTGTCTCTGGTTCACCATCTTGGACCAACAACTGCTTGTTGTATTCCTTTAGACAGCACAGAATGGACTAAAAAAGGGCACCAATGCTCTTTGGATTAGATTTCTTGGGGAAAGAAATACACTGCATAGCTCACCTAGATGCAAATAGTCTCAATAAAATTTATAAGCAAGCCAAGGTGAGGGAGTAGGAAATGAAATTTAGGTCAACTGATCTACAGTTTATGCCCTACCATATACTAGTTTTGTCTATTAATGAATATTAATGAATGCTTCAGGTTATGTGTTGAATAAAATTATAATGATGTGAGTTATTTTAAATTTACTGTAAATAAATATTCTGGCAAATTATTGGTCAGATAATTGTAACAAATGTTTTCTAGGAAAGGCACAACTCACAGTCTGAGTTCACTATGGAAAACTTGGTAAGCACCATATCTAATATATTTGTTGCTGGGACAGAGACAACAAGCACCACACTGAGATATGGACTTCTGCTCCTGCTGAAGCACCCAGAGGTCACAGGTATGAGCACAGGTGGTGAGTATAGTGAAGTGCAGAAAGGGTGCTCAGTAGATGTTGCTAGGGTTCTCCATCTTTTGTATGTTCCAGAAAGATGAAAGGTCTAGAAAAAGACCTCTGTATTTGCCATCTTTGTAGAATATTCTCTCCAAGTATTCAGTGGAGTGTATGAAATCAAAATTGCATCCCAAGTTACAGGGAAGTGGAATTTTAGAACACCAGGATTAAAAAGAAAAGCATAAAATCTTTCAGAGGGTTCTATTAGGTCATGTATAAAGGATTAGGTGTCAGAAATTATCAGAATTTTCAAGACTAAATATTATTTTGTATATTAATAGAAAAAGGATATGTTCAAACATGGATGATTGCCATGAATTTTACACTCTTTCTCCAATACTAGAAGCTGAGCTGCATCTAAATGTTTTTATTTGCAACTAAGTCAGAGGACGTCATGAGCTACACCTGTCAGGACACCTCATGTAGGAGAAGGAGAGTGTCAGGGAGGCTGCAGCACTTCAGAATGGGCTTGGTGGATAAGGCATGTTGAGGGAGACTCCAAGAACAAGGGAGAAGTGATTGATAATCTGTGGTTTCCCAACAATTGGGAAATTAAGTTGGAGTTTGAAACATCCACCTGAGCATTTGAAAGTAAATCTAACTTGAGCAATAGAAAATTATGAATTCAAGTAAACAGACATTTTTTATGCCCAAGAAAGTACTAAAAATGTAATGTAATTATAGTTGTATTGGCAGGGAAGAATATTAATGTAGTTAGAATGACGTAAACAATGAATAGTGATATCACTGGCCACCTTTGGAAGTGGGAGGTTGAAGAGTGTACTATTCTAGATTTCATACATACGCACACCCTCAGAAAAAACACGTATACATGTATAGATCCATTGCAATGTAGTTTTTTTTGTTTTTTTATTTTTAATTATTTTTTTTATTTTGGCATATTATGGGGGTACAGATTTTAAGGTTTCAATAAATGCCCATTTCCCCCCCTCCTCCCAAAAGTCTGAGTCTCCATCATGACCATCCCCCAGATGGTGCACATCTCACTCACTATGTATGTATATACCCGCCCCCCCCCCCCCCCCCACCCGCCCAATACCCTATTACTGTAGCACCTATGTGTCCACTTAGGTGCTACTCAGTTAATACCAGTTTGCTGGAGAATATATCTGGTGCTTGTTTTTCCAATCTGCAATGTAGTTTTAAACCGTATGTATTATTTTGTCAGTAATGTAATATTTGTTTTATGTTTTTCATTTTGCTAGGATTATAATTTCTTGACTTAATTATGTTGTGTTTACTTTTTAAAATATTTGATGTTTATTATGTTATATAAAAAAACTTGGAACAACATAGGTTCTATGTTTATTATGAGTATAAGTTAACTTGTATGCTAATTTATAGGTATTTACTAATGCATTGTGATGCCTAGTTTGTAGAAGGGTCATATGTGTATATTTTACAAGAAACTTCAGTATAAGTCTAGGTATACAAATGTGCACATATTACTATTTAGACACTTTCCTTGTGCTTCATGTAGCCCTAAGTTGCTATAACAAATGTGTCATTTTTCTGTTTTTCTGTCACTTCTTACTTGTGTCTTATCAGCTAAAGTCCAAGAAGAGATTGACCATGTGATTGGCAGACAGCGGATCCCCTGCATGCAGGACAGGAGCCACATGCCCTACACGGATGCTGTGGTGCATGAGGTCCAGAGATACATTGACCTGATTCCCAATAATATGCCCCATGCTGTGACCCGTGACGTTAAATTCAGAAACTACCTGATCCCCAAGGTAAAGTGTTGGTCCTACACTGTACCTAAGTACTCTTGAAATCCCCAAATTCACAGTCTGGTTCCAATCCTCTACCAACACAAGTTGAGAAGTGCAAAACTCATATATGTGGCAGCTTGATAGACTTTGTGCTCTTTTGTTTGGGGTTATACAGCTTTATAGAAGGTCTTGGTTCCTGGCAGTGTGTGTCTTCCAAGTAGGTTCTGCCTCTTTAATATTGTTTTGGCTACTCTTAAGTGTTTACACTTTCAAATAAATGTTAAAAGTATCACTTTGTCAATTTCCCAAAACACTCTTCTGGGATTTTGAATAGGGTAATATCAAATCTATAGTTCAATTTTGAAAGAATTAACATCTTGATGCCTAGCATCTTTCAAATTATGCAAATGGTTATGGTCCCATTCTATTTGGAATTTCTTCTGTTGTCTCAGTAATGTGGTTTCAATGCTGTCATTTGCAAATCCCATAATTTTCCTAACTAATTAGTACTTTGTTGCTGCTATAAATTTTTAAAATGTCCCTTTCCTTTCTTTATACCTGCTCTCTGGAAATATAATTGGTTTCTATCATTCTGATGCCCTCATATGTGGTAGCCTTGTTAAGTTGATTAATCATTGCTAATAATTTGTTGGTAGAGTAATCTGGAATTTCTATGTACATTATCCTTCTGTTTGGGTTATTATTTGTTTTATTTATCCAATTCTGTGTCCTTAATTTCTCTTTATTGTATTATTGAACTGCTCAGGATTGCAGGATAGCGTTGAATAGAATTGGTGATAGTAGGCATCCCTGTTTCATTTCTGATCTGTGGGAAGGGTTGGATATGTAATATCTTATTATGGAGAATGCTCCATTAAGTAGATTTAGTTATACAATCTTTATGAGATTAGAAAATTTTGCTCCCTTCTCTTATTTTCATATAACTTTTTCTCATGAATGTGTGGATAATTTTATCAAATAGTTCTTGGCATCTCTTGGTATGATTATACATTGGCCCCACTTTCCTCACTAAATATGCATAAATCTATACACATAGCTAGATTTGATCTCCTCCACATTATACAAAGACTTTGTATTTTTATTCATAAGGGCTTTTGGTCTCTAATCTTTTCATCACAATTTTTTTTGTCAGAGTTTCGGTATCAAGATTATGGTGGTGTATAAAAGTAGGTGAGAAATATTCCCTAATGTGGGTTTGTTTTTATGAGCTTCTCCTCCCCCTACCCTTCATCTCCTGCTCACTTCAATGTATCATTGAAATGTCTAACAACTTCTGACTAAATACTAGATGTTATATATGAATTTGGGATGATGTTTATCGTCTTCCAGAAAGGGAGCATTCTCCTCCCACGGCAGTCACAAAGCTGCAACCCCTCCTGCCCTCACTCCCAGGTGGACATGTTGTGAACAGAGTCCATAGTTATCCATAGCCATGAACAGAGTGCATAGTTACCTACAGCCATGAGTGTATCTCTCTGATGCTTTCCCAACTCTGGATCTTGAGACCAATTTTTTTTCTCAGTAGCTATACAATGCCTTTTTCACATGGTTTCCGTATTCACCCACTTGTTCTAGTTGCTATGCTGCAGGCTACTCTAATCCACTTGACCCACAAGATATAATTGTTAAAATTTAAAATTAGATAACTGAATATAGTGTTTTCATAGGGCAAAAATAATTGAGATTGCTGCAAATACTAATCTCATTTCCTGGAGGAGACAGAACCGATAACTTTAGCAAGAGGTTATGAGGCTTTCCTTGAGGTCAGTGATTGGGTACAAGGATTAGCATTTCAGCTCATTATGTTTTCCCCAAGGACACAGCTAAGAAATAGTTTGCTTCTCACTATTCAGATTTGAGGGTAATAGTAATGAAATTTGCTCTCCTGTAGCTGTCTACATGGGAAATAGACTGAGAAATCAGACAGGGATTGCCACCTCCCCACCCCCATCCAGTGCATCAGATTGGGGACCCGCCTCTGGGGAGCGATGCATCTGCTGAGATCACCCATTCACCAGGCTGTCAGGTGGCTCATGCTGTGCCTGGTGAGTTTTGAATTTAGAAAGGCCAGAGCCCGAGGAATGACCCATTCATTCCCTTCTGTGCGGAACAGTTTAGTATAGAAATATGCAGCTCTGTGTGGCTAATTCCATCCCCTACAAGTGAGATAAATGGGCTCTTTTGCCACAGGTTGGAGACACTATTGTAGGTGGAGATAATGGTCTAAGATAAGAGTTGGCCAGCTTTTTCTGTGATGGCCACATAGTAAATACTCTAGACATTTTAGGCCATAGGTTTTCTGCTGCACTACTGAGCTCTGCCAGTGTGGCATGGAAGCAGTCACAGACAACGTGTGATAGAATGAGGACGGATATGTGCCAAGTTTTATGGAGAATGAAAATTAAATTTCATACATTTTCCATATGTCAAAAATGTTATTCTTTGGCATTTGTGAAAACATTCTTACTGATGGGCTATGCCAAAACAGGGGGTAGTTGAATTCATGCATGGTCTGCTGTTTGTTTGTGCCCAGTGGAAAACTCTTGTGTTCAGTAGGCATCTATGCAATTGTGTTAGGCTGACTGTGCTTTTGTGCTCTACATTTGAAGAATATTTGCCACCAAATGGCTCAGAGATTTACACTTATCCTTTTATAGATGTCTTATTGTCTTAGCACTTCTATTTAGATATAGACACTTTTCAAGTTAATTTTTATTTACGATGTAGAGTAGTAATGGTTATGTTTCAATATTTTCCTTATGAATTTCCAGGTGTTTGAGTATCATTTGTTGAAACTACATCTGCTTTATAAACATATTTTTTTTTACCACTGATTTTTTAATTTAATTTTTTTATTTCAGCATATTATGGGGGTACACATGCTAAGGTTACCTACATTGCCCTTGCATCTCCTCCCCCCTGGAGTCAGAGCTTCAAGCGTGTCCATCCCCCAGACGGTGTGCATCGCACTCACTATGTATGTAAATACCCATCCCCTCGTGCCCCTGCCACCTGCCTGACACCTGATAAGTGTTTTTCTTTTAACATTTTGGTTACATTTTATATATTTGCCTCTTCCTAGCAAGGGTTAGAGGTATGCCCTTCCCCATTCACAATCTTCACCACATCCCTCAGATGTGGGACTACCCCCTAACCCCTGAATCCATGGAGAACACCACCACGCTTTGAGCACCATAGTGTTAATCAGTCAGTATCAATTTGATGCCGAATATATGTGGAGTCCATTATTCTGATCTTGTGTCAGCTCACTTTTGCTTTTATATTTTTATGAAACATTTTCTTATATTGTTTAAACATTCAGGAAAAGTTTTAAAAATGAAATTATAGGCATTGAATAGTACAAAATTAGGAGATGGGTTTCACCCACATTTGTATTTTTTAAATATTTAAATCTAAATAAAATTAAAACACATATATAGACATATATGAGTATATTTATGAAAATATGCATATATCTACTTTTATATCTTTCTATCCATTTCTCTGCCTATCAACATTTTTATATGTATTCCCCAAGAGCAAATATTTTCACCTACATAATGAAAATATCGTTCACACTCAGGAGTTACTGATACGATAATATGATCTAATATATAGCCTATGTGTAAGTTTTCCCAATTTTACTAGAAGTAATTTACCTTTTTATTCTTTTGCCATTTACCATACAGCCAAGGAACAACCATATAAATTGCTTATCGTGCTTTTTGGTCTCCTCTGATCAAGCACACTGTTGCTTTCCTTCATTTGTTTCCTTCCAGTATGTTGACCTTTCTGTGGAGTCCAGGCTACTAGCCATTCAAAATGTTCCTCAGGTTGTTTTTGTGTGATTGTTTTCTAAAGATTAGATTCCATGGTCATGCTGGAAACTCAGACTTGTGGGGGGAGAGGGGGGATGGTCATTTATTGAAACCTTAAAATCTGTACCCCCATAATATGCCGAAATAATAAAAGAAAAGATTAGATTCCAGTTATGATTTTGGAAGAATAAGGCATGGGTGCTTTGAGTGCCCCACAGAATCACATTGGTGAGGTGGGAGCACGCATGTCACGTGTGCCATTATCGGCTATGCTCATTTCCTCAGTAATAAGGTGGTATCTGCCAGATCTCTGCATTGCAGAGGTTTTGCAATGTAGGTTTATGTATAATTAATACATATCCATGGCATGGTGCTTTAAGGTTTTGTGTAAATCTTGCTTCCCAAATCACACATCCAAAAATTTGAGCTTTAATTGATCATCTTGACCTGAATAGTAACAAAGTGAGGATTTTTCTAATTTCATCATCCCTTCTGTGGTTTTAAATTAGGATCAACCTCTAATGAATATCTCCCCCATGAGTTTATATCAAGACAAAAAACCTGCTTGGCAATGATAAACACTCAATCGTTTTATTCTTGTTACTGTACTTCTTGTTTTCCTATTAGAAGATGTCATTTTATTTTTTTTTTCTTTTAAGGGCTTTATTTGCATTGATTTATTTAGTACTCATTGACCTTATAAGTTAGGTAGTATTAATATCCCCAGCTGGTAGAGGAGGGAACTAAACTAAGAGAAACTGAGAAACTCATTCAAGGTCCTGTAAGTAGTGAGCGTTAGAGTCAAGATTCAAATCCAGAGCACATGACCACAGAGCTCATGATCTTCATGAGTACATATTTCCTCTCAAACATAAGTCCATTTTTGGCAACTGATAAAATAAGACTGACAAAGAACTAAGCTAACTATATCAATGTTTGTAACATTTAAATATATTTTCAAAAGTCCATATCACTCAGAAATAAATGGTCTGTGGAGGAAAGGATGAAACAGCATGTTGGAAACTGTCTACTCCCTGCTAGGGAAGCCAGGAGGAAAGAATGACCCAGAGAACTTTCAAGTAAACATTCCAGCAATTTGAAGCAGATCTGCTAGTAAACATGCTAATGGCTTTTTTTCTTTTTCTTTTTTTCATTTCACGATATTACGGGTGGGGGTACAAACATTTTGGTTACACGTTATGACTTTGCCTCACCCAAGCCAGGATTGCAGTCATGCCCTTCCCCCATACAAAAATCACCATGTTCATTAGTTGTGAGTTTACCGCCCCCCAGCCCCACAACCTCCAGTGAATATTACTACTCTTTGAGCACCTTAGTGTTTATCGGTTAGTGATAATTCAATGGCGAGTACATGTGGTGCCTATTCTTCCATTCTTTTGACATTTCACTTTGGAGGATGTCATTTTCAACGTTACTAGATCATATGACCTAGTTTCAAAAAGTCCTATGTACAGGTACTCTGGATTTTTTAAGAGCCCACAGAGATTTCGATTTTACACCATAGTCTATATATATGATGTGTGAAAACTGAAGTGATGAAATAGAGCAACCTGTGGGGACAGACCCTAGGTTCCAACCTCAATGATAAGGACAACAGATTCAGAAGGTTTATCACCCCAGTGACCAAGTGCTCAAGATTTCGACCTTGGTTGGAGAGCACTTCAGCAAGATCATTGCCACTGGTCTTAAACTCATCCTTGTTGATTACTGGGTCTGTGTGTCTGGAAGTGTTCCTGTTCTTCTTTGGACCTGTGTTTCTTCATCTATAGATCAAAAGCTTTATCTAGGTAATTACTTTTGTTTCTTACAGCTCGATGACTCTTTCATAACTTGGTTTGCCTATGTCTGTTGCTTCCAGGGCACAGCCATATTACCATCCCTGACATCTGTGCTGCACGACGACAAAGAATTCCCCAACCCAGAGAAGTTCGACCCTGGACATTTTCTGGATGAAAGTGGCAACTTCAAAAAAAGCAACTTCTTCATGCCTTTCTCAACAGGTAATAGAAATGTATTTCCCTTTTTATTTCAGGGGACAAGATAACATTTAGGATTAGTCAGAACTTACATGGTTTCTCCTCTGGGGCTGGTATAAATGCTCCTAGCGCATGATCGAGAGCACCACTGCCAACGCCTGTGTATTTCCTTCATCATTATACATCCTCATTTTTGGTTTAGAGTCATAGTGCTTTGAGGAGTTGAACTGGTTCTTCATAATCAGGAAGGCTGAAGTATAGGTAGATTGAATTCTGTCTTGGATACATCACTGACATACTCAAGAACTCCTCCTAGATGCAAAATTCATTTAGACATTTCTCATCTGCCAATGTAAAGGTTCTCACTCTACAGTTTCAGTAAGTGTCTTCCACTTGGTGTCCTCATCACCTATCTGAGCTTTGGGGATTCACATGTCAACAAGCACAGAATGAGCTCTAATGGTCTGCACCTGCAGTTAAGAAAGCAGATGAATAAACAGCCCATTGTAATTCACTAGGGCTGGGCTGTGAGAGTGGAAAGCAAAGCACAGGCTGCTGGGTATAGGGGGCAGAGGGAGAAGCTGCCTGCTTCTTGCTCTCTCATACCCTGCACTGAGCCATAATAAGCTGGAGTAAGCAACATTCTAATAGTAGCTACCTCAACAGAGGTAGAGAAAATGGAAAAGAGAGAAGGCAGGGCATTGTCAAGGAGATAATGAACCACAGGAGCAGGGCATTTGCTCTAATCAAGATGTTGGAACCTTTGCCAACTAACCATGGAGCCAGGGAAACATTGTGACTGAGGCCAGATCCTCTGCAATGATTCCAGAGCACGCCGCTGTTCCTCCAATCATGACCATGCATCTTGGGTATTGGATCTTGACTCTTGCAATGTGTGTGCTGAGTTTCTGGCCATGGAAGCCCCTCTATTCTGTGACCTTTTATGCCCGCTTTATATCTGGCAGTGTAGATACCAAGATGACAAAGATGGAAATCTCCCTTCAAGAAGTCACATTTTAGCATGATAGGAAAATAAATCAATAAAGTAAAGAAACAAATAGTCAATTATGATTCCAGGTGATCCATGCTGCATTGAAAGTGATCATGTGATGTTGAATAAACACAGAGAGGGCAAGATTTTATTAATTGAGTACATAGCAAAGAGTGCAAAGAAGAAATAGAATTTGACCTGTGTCCTGAATTTGAACTCTGAAAAGTGTATCTTGGCCAAAAGGAACAGCATAGTATAAAACTTCAAACTTCTTGTTGTATTGGAGGCTGATGAAGAGCATGTATGGCTTGAGCTGAGTATTGAGGATATGAAGAGTGGAAGGGAAGATCATGGATTTTCAAACTAGGAATAGGAGACATGAGAATATGGATGTGGTTGTGTAGATATATAGATTTAAAGTCAAAATGTCAAGGGAGCTGTTATAATGTGGAAATACTTAATGAATTGCTTGGTATGGAGCTGTTATTCAGTGAACATTTGTTGAATGAAGGGTCTTTGTTAAGATCAGATGTGAAGTGGATGGCAAGTGCGACTATTCTGTGTTCAGTTGTCTATCCAGTCGCCTTTCCATCCATCCACCAACTCATTCTTCCATCCAAACATTCATCAAAGGGTGAGAGTCACACACACAGTACTTGTTTCAGTCACAGTTGAACATAAGTAGTAACTCCTGGTATTTATTACTTTCAGGAAAACGGATTTGTGTGGGAGAGGGACTGGCCCGCATGGAGCTGTTTTTATTCCTGACCAGCATTTTACAGAACTTTAACATGAAATCTTTGATTGATTCAAAGAAACTGAATGCTACTTCGACTTCTGCTGCATCTATTTCTTTGCCACCTTTGTACAAGATTAGCTTCATTCCTGTGTGAAGAAGTTCAGATATCTGCCTGCTGTGGCTGTTCTCTGCCTCTCTCCTATCAATGGTGTCTTCAGCCTCCTTGCTATTATTAGGGATGTCTTCTCTGACCTGTTCTCTCACATCTCCCCATTCCCTTAACATGCAGTGAACGTCCAATGTCCACTAAGGAGAGTTTCCGTAATTTTACACACAACTATATCTATGTCTGCTCTTCCTTACACTCTGTAACACAGTATTTACTACCACATGTGACAATACTTACCTAGTCTAGAGTTATCACTTGAAAACACAGTAAAATGATTAATGTATGATAATTCACAGCCATTTCTCCAGTGCATGTTTTAAATAAAAAGTGTTATTAATTGCTGAATCAGATCACAGACTTTCCTTGTTTTGTACATAATGCAAGTAGGAAATTAAAGAAAACAGATTCCTGGAGCTCATGCTGGTCCTCATAGTGATAAGCACAGAGAGGGACAAAGGGGAAGAAGGCAGGGAAGCTCTCTTGGAGGTGTGTCACCAAGAGCTACTGGAGGTTTACATTTGAAAGAGAGAGCCTGTGTCCAGGGACAGCTTTAACCTTTATATTGACAGGATCAGTGACAGTTATCAATGAACATTAAATGTTGAAATTCCTGTTCTGCTTGAGTGTTACTGTAAATAGCAAGTAAAGATCTAGAATGCTCTTTTCACTCTCTATCCTTAGACTCGACTGTGAACATATGGTTTCATATTGCTACTCATGTATTCTGAGTGTAATGATTCTCTCCCCAGAAAAGAATGACATCTCTGGAAAGCCTCACAGAATTGTATTATTCTTCTAGTTTCTATCTCTATGTTTTACACATAATATATATGTGATAGTAATTTGATGTTTGGGGGCTAAAATTATAAGTCTCATAGCATGTGTACAGCATCAGTAGGTAAACATGTATCTGTGACAAATTCTAGTCTTCTCTCCCCCTTTTTTCTGTTTTGAAGTAAGATGAGAAATGACATGATCCATTAACCTTTTCCAAGCTCATCTAGAGAAAGCCATTTATACTTGGCCTGCATTTGTAATTTAATACACACATATAGTTGTGTCTATATCTCTATGCATGTATGTGTGCATAGGTGTAAATTAAAATACAGCATATATTATATACAAACATATACATGTGGATTTGAAAGTCATTATTTAAAATATTCATGTTACACATACTGTTAAAGAACTTACTGGTGTTTACTAAACAATAAGCCAGGTTACAGGGTAAATGTCTAAGATACTAGAAACATGGGTAAATAATTTGATAGGACTTGTTATGTATTAGTTAATGGAAATAGCTATTAAACTTTGAAAATAGCTTAAAAATAAAAAGTGCAAATTTAGCCTATATTATCTTCCATTAGCCTTTTTGGCTGGCAAATGAAAAAATTTTAATTTTTTAGCCAATGTGTGAGAAACAGGCTTTTTTTAAATGTCTGATTTTCAATTGCATTGATTTCTGCTCTAATTTTTATGATTTCCTTTCCTCTGCTTACTTAGGAATGAATTAGCTCTTCATTTTCCAGTTTCCTAATGTATATGTTTAGATTACTGATTTTATATCATTTACCTTTTTATGAAAGGAAGTTTATTCATAGACATTCAATGCCATAAATTATCTTATAAGTACTGACTTTAATCCACAACCTGTCTCTCACTCAAGACCCAGCATTAATGTATTCTTTAAATTAACTGACACTTAACAAGTTCCAAAATTAATTTTTCTGGATTCTCTTACCTTGTTGGTTTAGAAAACCTTAGAAGGTGGAAGAGGATTTTCATATTTCAAATGATTCTGGTGTTTAATGGCTCATAGAAAATATTGTATCTAGGAATATCAGACTGACCTGCTGAATTATAATATACTACTTACAGAAAGTCTTCACGACATTTGATTTGGCAATGATTTCTTCAATGTGACACCCAAAGCATAGGCAATGAAAGCAAAGATAGATATATTGGTCTTCATCAAAGTTAACTTTCTACATCTAAAGTGTATAAAAACTTTCTACTATCAAGAGTGTATAAAAACGCAAAGAATAGCAGAAAATATTTGGAATCATATATCTTTGAGAGATAATGTCCAAAATACATAATGTATTTCTACAACTCAATAACATCAACTAAAAGGACAAAAACTGGTTCAAAATACGCAAAGTGCAAGAATGAACATTTCACCAGAGAAGATAAAGAATGGCTTAAGTGCTTGAAAACATGCACATTATCACTGATCATTAGGGTAATGCAAATCAAAACATCAGTGAGACACCACCTTCTACCCATTGGGATGGTTGTTCTTAACATTCAGCAAATACTAAGTGTTGATGAAAATGTGGAGAAATCAGGAAACTTGTGCACTTCTTGGGGGAATGTATAATGATGCAGCCATGATCAGAAATGGTATAGTGCTTCCAAGGAAACTTAGTGAGAGAATTACTGTATGACCCATCAATTCAAACACTGGGTATATACCCCAAAGAAATGAAAGCTGGGTATCATAGAGATATTTATACCTCAATGTTAATAGCAGCAGCATTCACAAAATCCAAAGGTAGAAGCATCCCAAGTGCTCATTGACTAAACAATGGGATAAACAACATGTGTTATATACATACATTGGAATATTATTCAGGCTTTAAGGGAAAGTAAATTCTGACACTGCTACAACATGAATAAAACTGGAAGATATTATGTGAAGAGAAAATAGCCAGTCATAATTATACAAAATATTGTGATATATGATTCCACTTCCATGAGATTCCTAGAATAAGCAAATTCTTAGTAACAGAAAGTCTCCATGGGTTATTATATGGGTGGTTGTCAGGGACAGGAGGTATTTGAGAATATGGAGTTATTGTTTAATGACACAAAGTTCAGTTTTGTCAGATGAAAAGAGTTCTGGAGATTGTATTCTTGGTTGCATAATAATGTGAATGTACTTAATTCTACTAAACTGTACACTAAAAATTGTTAAACTGGATAATTTCATGTTAAATATGTCTTGCTACAATTAAACACTCCAAAAATCTACTACTTATATTATCTGGATAGTACAGTAGAATGACAATGACTTAAATAACATTTCCTCAATAAAGCTACCATGAAAACTCTAATAAAATCAAGATGAAAAGGAGCACTGCTGAAATTACTCATGGTGCACGTGTTGCTGAAAACCTGTGAATTCAGAGACCTCAATCCATGCAGTTCCTTTTCACAGGTGTCCCCTCCAGAATGTGCCTGTCTTGGGTCACTCTCCAGAGACTTCCATGAACTGAGTTCTTGTCAGTATTTTCTCCAGATTGAAGCAGTGTTACCCATGAGGAGGTGGGACTGATGAAGCTACTCCACCATGACTGGAAGGATGAGCTTCCTCACTGCATCACTGAACTTAGGAAAGGAACCACTTCCTGCCTAGCCCTGACTCCTTTCCCAGAGTAGTCACTGCAGCAGGGCTGGACAGGTAGTTTACCCTGATCCCAATGCCCTGACCTCAGTTTGTGTGCAAATCCTTCAGGTGGTGAAGGTGAGGATCCCAGTGGGATCACACCTGGGGGTGAGGCTCCTCACTGGGATCTTTCTTCCCCTGGACCTTCCCACTAGGCCTAGACACTAGCATTGACATGACTGGTTCTAAGAAGAGGAGGCACTGAAATTTTTGTTGTGGGGAAAGGAGGAACCTCCCTTTTTAATTTTAAGAATAGCTCTTTTGGATCCAAGGGAAACTTGAGATTGGGAAGTAAATGTGGAGGAGAGGCTGGAAGCCAAGGGGATTGTCTGAGGAGAGAGGCAAGCAATCCTCCTCTGTCAGGGGAAACAGTACCTTGTGCATGGAGAGTAAGGAGCAAATGCTCCCTACCAAATGCTTCATCAGGACCATCAATTGACTGTGGATTTATATCTGTAAACAAGAGTTTAATCATAGTTGGGAGATTCTCAGTGTCATGTCTGCAAGCTCTTGTCTGCTGATGATGAGATTTCTTTTAGCCTTTAAGGTTATCATCCAATTATCATAGGCTTTTGTTTCCAGCAACAAAATCTGCCTCTGAGAAGAAGAATTGGCTCTTTCCAGCATTTCTTCTAGGTCTTTGATTCCTTTATTGTAGGACTCCAGTTCTTCATTTTTAAAGATTATCATGTCCTTTGCTATGGAAATTCTCACCTTTTGCTGCAAGTCATGATTTGCCTTGGTAGATATTAACTCAATACAATCCATTTCTTTGTGGGGTTAAAGTCAAGTCATTTCATTTTCTTTCTCATCAAGATGCATGTTTTAGTCACAATAAATATGTTCTTTATTTCTGTTTTCTGACATGCCTTGGGCCCGCTGATACCCAATTAAAATGGGCACAACTAGTACAGAGATATTAATTGTAAACTACATTTTTAGATGAAAAGTCCCAGGGGTCCTCAAAGAAATGGCTTATTGGAGAGCTGAGGTAGGGCAAATACAAGATGACCCAAGAATATACTGCTGTGTCAAAAAATAAAAAATCTCAAGTATTGCATGGGCCATGGGAAAGGTAAAAGAATCCAACCATTTAGGAGACACGTGAGCATAAAATAAAGGATCATTGTAGTGGATTATAACCCTTAGAAAACAAACAATTAATGATTACTTACTCATATTAATAAAAAATAAATAACCAAAAATTTGATGAGAAATGGATAATTACAGAATATTTTTTTATTTCAGCATATTATGGGGGTACAGATTTTAAGGTTTCAATAAATGCCCATTTCCCCCCCTCCCGCCCAAGTCTGAGTCTCCATATGACCATCCCCCAGATGGTGCACATCTCACTCATTATATATGTATATACCCGCCCCCCTCCCCCCTCCAACCTGCCCAATACCCTATTACTGTAATACCTATGTGACCACTTAGGTGCTGCTCAGTTAATACCAATTTCACTCTTCTGTGAGTATATGTGGTGCTTTTTTCAATTCTTGGGAAACTTCACTAATACTATGGTTCCAGCTCTAAAACAGAATAATAAGATGTGCTATGTTCACCATGGTTTCTTAGGAGCTAAATAGTACTCCATGGTATACAGTTACGCACATGTTTCATCAATCCATTCTTAGATTTGATGGCACTTGGGCTGTTTCACAGCCTTGCAATTATGATTTGTCTGCTATAACATTCGGTGAGGTGTCTTTTTTGTAGAGTGTCATGGATCTTTGGGTAGATGCCAGCATGGTGCTGGATCAACGGTAGATTCCTTGTTATCGCTTTAAGGTATCTCCATATTGCTTTCACAGAGGGTGAACTAGTTCGCAGTGGACCAGCAGTTAGAGTGTTGCCTCCTCTCCACAACCACGCAGCAAGTTTTGTTTGGAGAGCTTGTTGAAAGGCCATTCTCACTGGAGTTAAGTGATATGCTGCATTGTGGTTTGATTTGCATTTCCCCTGATATTAGAGATGGTGAGATTTTCATATGTTTGTAGCCATTCTTGCTGGTCTCTTTAGAAAAGCTCTGTTCAATACTTTGCCCACTTTTTAATGGGTTTTTTTTTCTTCCTGATTTACGTGAGTTCTAAGTCTATTCTAGTTATCAAGTCCCTTATCGATGCAGTGGATGCAAAATTTTCTCCCATCTCTTGTAGTTGTCTGTTACTTTCATGAATATTTCTTTGCTGTCAGAGCTTTGTAAGTTTGATCATGTCCATTATATATTTTTGTTGCTGCTGGATTGCCTTGGGTACTCTCCATAACGCTTTGCCCCCAGGCTCGATGTCTAGGAGAGTGTTTCCAACGGTTTTTCATCTAGAAATTCTAATTAGTTTCTACCTTAGGTTAAGTCGTTACCCAGCGTGATGATTTTTGTGGAGGTGAAGGTAGGGCCTGTTAGCCTTCTACAGGTCGGCTATCCAGTTTTCCCAGCCACATTTATTGAAAGGATTTTCCTAGGTATGTTTTTGCTGCTTTGTCAAAGTTAGATGCTATATAGGATGGTTTAAGCTATCAGGATTCTCACATCTGTTCTCACATGGTCCAATATTCCTGCTTTTTGTGCAATACCATTTTTTACATTACTACAGCTTTGATTATAGTTGAATACTGGCATACTTAATGCCTCCCATTGTTGTTGGTTGCCAGAATTGCTCTTGTATTCGGCTTCTTGGTTCCATACAAAGCGTAATTATTTTTAATATCTGTGAGAATGCTGATGGATTTAATACGGTATTGCCATTGAATCTGTACATTCAGTTTGGGTATAATAGACATTTTGATGAATTGAGTCTGCCGATCCAGAGCATCAGGTATGGATTCATCTGTTTAACCTCCTGCTATTTCCGTCCTCGTGTTTCATATTCCTGTAGAGGTCTTTTACTCTTTGGTTAAGTATATTCCTAGGTACTTTATTCTTTGTTGCTATTGTGGAAGGATTGATTTTGATTGAGTCATTTGATTGTGTTCCATTTGAATGTTGTTGCGTATAGAATCTTCT